AAAAAAAAAATTGCATTAATAAACCCGTACAGACTAACTACTACAAGAGTGGGTGCGCTTCGTTGCGCGCGTCCGTCGGAACTAGGTCACGCCGCAGCCGTCGCATGCGGTAGGTCAGCCCGCGATACTTGACAGACGTCGCAGTTGTCAGTGGGGCATAGGCTGCTTTCATAGTCCGCCGGCGCGGCCGGCCGGCGTGCCGACGGAGGCAGTGCTAGGGGGGAGGAGGGAGGCAGTTAGGTAGGCAAACAGTCCACGCCCCTTTGAGGGGTTCAAAACAAACAACCTTCGAAGGGGCGTGGACTGTTTGCCTTACACTGTCTGCCTCCCTCCTCCCTAGCACTGCCTCCGCCGGCACGCCGGCATGCCGGCCGGCCGGCGGACTATGAAAGCAGCCATACGATTTGCGCTTGGTCCATGGCAATCAGCTCAAAGAGAAGATAACACGGACAAATGCAAATCATCCACCCTACTAACACTTGGTGAACTGTAGTGTCATCTCGAGACCTCTTTGGGGTGCGGCGCGCGCGAAGTGGGCGGGGTGACTTTCGACGGACGCGTGCAACGGACGTTCTCCTACAAGAGTACGTGCCATCAACAAACACGTACAGGTTGTTTGTCCGTAAACGTTGAAGCATCTTGAAGGATTTCTTTTGCTCCTCTGTCCGTAAACGTTGAAGCATCACGAAGCATTTCTTTTCTTGCTTTCCGAACCTTTTTGTACGGTTGAGACTCACTTGCTAATTGAGCTGTAGCTGCGGGATAGTCATCGTCAATTTCACTCTTGCACTCAATCTGAAATTCATAACAAAATAGAGGAATTGTTCAGAGAACTGTAGATATTAGTCACAACAAAAGTATAAATAATGCACAATCACTTACGAGAGGTTTGCCTTGATGAGCAAAAGCATCTTTGACTGTCTTTTTACTCGTCTTAGATATATTCTTAACCTTTCTGTGTATGGGAGGAGAGCCGGTGGCTAAGTGCGCGGTAGTTGGAGTATTGTCAAAGACAACTTTATGTTTGCTCCTAATCTGACCCTCAACCTGGAACGGTGATTTGGAAATTCAAATAAGATTGAAAGATAGAACCCAAAAAAANAAAAAAATGTGACCTTGACCGGACTATGCGACGGAGTCGTAGCGAATTTCTTGGTAGAATATACATTCTCAAGAAAAATGATATCATCCTGAAACTCCTTCGTTATAAGCAATTATTGTTTGCCTCAATTACATTTTTGTCTAACTTTCCAGGCCGAGTAGCACTGTGCAATAGATCAAGAAGCTGTAAGAGCTGCAGGCGGTTGACAGATGTAGGAAACGAAATTTGGTGCACTTGAATGTTAGACAATTCGTAAAAAATATAAGCGAATCATAAACGATTTTTTGGATTATGGCACATAAATTATACGATTTTCAGAACATGAAAAGCACGAAGAAATGAGATTTGTTCGACAGAAAGGTGGCTTCTTCAGTTCCCTTACCCATTATGCATTACAGAGACAGGACGATATTAAGCAGGTGGATGACTTATGCTGCAACTGAGGCCTTCTTAAGCGTAACAATCGAAAGAAAAATCGCTAAAGATGTCCAGTCTTGCCAAGAATCCCATGGATGATCATCGATCAGGTGTTACTAGCTTAAAAATCATGAACGTCTATGTTAACCATCAATACTGGTAGGAAAATGAGCAAAAATTGCTTGGAAAGCAAAATCGTAAACAACGGGAACCAATAGGCCTTTAATGAAGAAACTGTATCAATTAATAATGAAGTAGAGCGACATCGAACACGATTGCGAACACTGTGAAATCTATCATAAGTCACAGACAGGTCAACGCTGGCGTCCCGAGCGTTGATACTATCAATGCAGCCTCTAGAAGCTGTCAAAAGGTAGAGAGAGATGTGTGTTATTTACAACAGTTCCGTATAATAATTTCGATAAAAACACTGCGCTCATCGACTTCTGACGTACTGGCTGAAAGGTATACTACCACATCGAAGACTGATCTTTCAACGACGAGCATTCGCCATCTATGGCTAGATCTCGAGCAGGGGCAGCCATTTCCAAGTATAGAACAGAGCTCTTCAGAAAGCGGCGCTTCCAATGTTTTATGTACGCCAGCCAAAGTGTTACAAGTGTTCTTTTGTATAATAAGTACCGATTAAGGGCTTGCAATATGCCACGTCAACGCCCACGTCATGATAAAGCACTTACGTCAGGATGAGAAGAAGTCCGACGATTACTAAACTGTTGGCAATATGCAAGTGAACAACGCCCATTACCTTCTTGTTCAGGTTCACACTGGAAAATTAATGTACTTGAATAAGAAAACACGGTGAAACAAACAAATCCTTACCACTAAAGGCGACGATTTATACTCGTAACAGGACTCCAGCTTCGAAAAATTTCTCACTAGAGAATTGGTCTCAAATTCTGAATACAATGCCCACATTAAAATGGAAAACTATAACTGAAGCAAATTTTGAGACCAAGTTACCACGAAATTCGCATCAAAATGAAAGGAAAAATGCAACCCTTCGCTGATTGTTGCCAACTGGAGCTTCTCTGGCAACGAAGATCCAGTCTTATGCGTGACCTCTGCATTAGGTATTCGCCTCAGGGCGTCGGAATGGCTGCTTTCATACTTCGACGTGCGTGCCGGCACCCAGGCAGAAAGGCAGGTACAATCTTGCGGCGTGCGGCCTGCGACACCAGTGGCACGTGCTCCATCGGCGTCCAATGTTGGCAACACCTCTCTAGCGTCGCCGTCGCATAGTCGCTCGCACCTGCGTTTCCACCTGCGTGGCGACACACACGTCGAAGTATGAAAGCAGCCACTCGCGTAACCTCGCGCTCTTCACGGGGCGCTTTCGGACTCCACCGACGTGCATTGTTTCCGACCCACAGGCGCGTGATCCTACGGTGTCCAGTGTTGTGAACAGGTGGCCAGCAACGACGTTGTTCGGTCTGTAGAAAAGATGCACGTTGGTGGAGTCTGAAAGCATCCAATTGCACGGCACGCCGAGGGAGCAGACGCTGTTGGCCCGCTCTCTGTTCGAAATAGTGTCCGATGGGGTGCTGCTCAGACGCAAACTACTAAACTAGATTTAGCAAGCCAGCCAGCCTAGTCGGTGTTGATTTGTGACAGCTGTCTAAGGAGGGGCATCAATGATTATATAGCATTCGCACTCGCACTTTATCCATTAATACTTTGCGCCCGATTTAAACTTCGCGCGTACAGCTATTATTCTGCATCTGTCTGCGCTCTCTTGTCGAAGGAACTCCTACAACCATTGCTAACTAATGGATAGGCCACGAAGTGGACGGCTGCGTATTTTTCTATGTATTTCGAACATTTGCAGTGATTAATATTAATAGATCGAGTAGCTGAGTATTTTTAGCCAATATGAACTGAATGAGTATTTCTTTTTCAGTGCAAAAAAATGACAATCAGTTATCTTTTCCTGAAATGTACGCAATTACTTGGTTCTCAACCTATCCCCTACAAGTTAGGAGCCTATCCCGAAAACTACTCCTGCGCACCTCCCTTCCCATTGACTTACGATCTAATACACCAGTCTATCCGACTAGGGTGGTGATTCGTACTACTACGAATCACCACCCTAGTCAAACGCTCTCCTCCAGTCTTTTGCGTTCTTGGTAGAGGTGAGAACTGCTTGTTGCAGTAGTGTGCTTCGAGGTT